CCTTTAATCGCCACGCTACGCAAAGATCATTCCAATTATATTAGGCATTTTAGAAATGTTCTAGCATTATATATTTTTAAATCATAACCATCTTTAGTTTTACAATAAAAGGATTCTGCGAACTTTTGTAAACTTCCAATATAGCATACTTTTTCGACGTAGAAGCCATTGGACATGCCATCTGCAAAAATAGATAACACATTACCGACCTAAAGTTTGGGACCACATTGATTTTTTCCCCTAAACTTAAAAAAAATATATAATTTTTTATGGCTTTAAAGATATAAATTTATTTTTTTCTATGTGAGCATGCAATTATTCCATAATTTAAATCAAAATGATTTTTTTATGTCAACATTTGCGCCGGTTTCTGCGTGTCGTTGCAGGCAATAATGAGCCCAATACTTTTATAACTGTCACTGTCTTGCAATCTGACGTTCGGAATACCCTTCTTTAGAAAGAATTGGCACATGGCATCTTTTTTTCAGTACTAATCAGTTTAGTTCTTGGCATTTTAATGTTGTTATTTTATTAATTCAATCACACATCTTGAAACTCTATTAAGTAATGGAGTTGAAATATTTATAAATTTCTACTCTGCAGTTCAGGAAAGGTATCAGGTTGTAACAAAATTTCCAAAGCTTATGCAAATAAATTCATAATGTTTGTAGAAAAAACTGTTTGAATTTTATATCAGGGTTTGCATAGAGAATAGGTGAATTTATTTATCCAAATATGCAAAATTAACCTTTTTTATGAACTGAGAGAAACAATTCAGGGTGGTCACAAACTTGTAAACGGTATTGGTTGCTTGTCTGCTTTAAATTTAATGATGCAAATAAAGAAGTCGAATTTCGATGAAAAATAGATTTATTATAGTTTCGATCGCGTATTCATATCATAGTCAGAATTCTATCTGAAGCCTCATTCCTACAGACAAAGCATCTCTAGATAATCAATACTCTATCGCTATTTCCATGACAATTTTTCAGATAAGCTGCATTCTTAATTTACCTTATAAAGACATTTGTATTTCAGATACATCGTGTTAATTTCCACAGAGTCGACTCCAACCAATTCTCTTCGTATTCTTAATGTAAGGAGAAAATTCAACTCTTTTACAGCTTTTTTTTTTCAAGAAATGCTAATTTGTGAAACATTCCCGAGAGGATGCTTCCTTAAATACTATATTACTAACATTTGCAAGTAATGGGTCAATATTTTCCGGGGTATAACGATAAACTTCCTCCGGCAGCAAGGCCTCTGATCGAAGGTTTTGAGGAGCGTGGAACCACCTCTGAATTGCTGTTGTTTTCAAGCTGTTCTCAACATTGACCCTAGATGGTAGCACCTGTTAGGGTTTCATTAATGTGTGTGGTAGTATATTTAGGGTCCCAACTATGGGCCATTAGTTAACACTCAAACTGGGGTCAACACACTATGAAAGTTTTTAAAAAACAAAAAAAACAAAAAAAACAGCAATACATTTAGGCGAAAAAAATTACCAGCAATTTGTTTGTAAATCAAAATACTAATAATACCAAGATAATTAAATTTCGGCATTAAATGACCCATAAGAAGTTGATATGCCGCTAAACAAACAAACCCTCATGGGTCAATCATTTTATTTCCTCCTAATTCTAAAACTCATCATTTCCTAGCACTTCTTATTTTATACCTAACACCAACCTGATAAATCATCCACATTTTAACAGTAACCCTTTACTAGAGTGGCTATCGATCCTTGTATTGTGGGAAGTCTAACATGAAATATTTCCGTTTATTTCTATCTAAATCAGATCGCTTTTATACAACTGAAGAAAATTACTTTTACACAATATTCCGTCTATTTCTCTTTTATATGTTTTAGTGTTTATATAAATGCCTCAGGTGGTTCTGAAAAGTTCCCAGTCTGTCTATGGACACACATTATCTGTCGGCTGAAACACTTTCACTATCTATTCATATACACATTTATATTTGCATTATATAGAGACATAGTTACTGATGTATGATGAATCAGCACCAAATGAAGTTATATAAATATATATCTATATAGATGTATATATATATATATATATATATATATATATATATATAGAGAGAGAGAGAGAGAGGAGAGAGAGATAGATAGATAGATAGATAAAGAGGGAGGGAGAGAGCTAGTGAATGAAATATATCGGTAGTTATATCTACTCTATTAAAACTTTCGAATGCACAGGCCGGTAGATGAATATTTACACTTGTTTTAATTATAGGGATGTCCATACAAACCAGATATGTCGACTACATATAACGCTAAAAATAATAAGACGTAAATTTACTATGAAAAAAGGTTGCATCAATGATAAGTGCATATAAAATCATTTGCTGATACCTCCTGACGTATTGATGGACGAAGCTCTAGGGTCGTGATGTTAATGGTAACTTCTACTAGCTATGTGAAAACCTTATATATATATATATATATATATATATATATATATATATATATATATATATATATATATAGATAGATAGATAGATAGAGAGAGAGAATGAGTGAGAGATTCCGTTAATCACACACACACACACACACACACACATATATATATATATATATATATATATATATATATATATATCAATATATATATATATACATTATGAAATGGACAAAGTCCGACAATTATTTTAAGATATTTTTATGTTTTAACATTCTTTTTTATAGATACCAATATTTAAGTAAATGCTCTGTTTATGATAAACAATATTAAACAATATTTACCTTCCTGAATGTCCGAGAGATTTTTATAGAGAATATTCGTCCTTCGAATATGAAAATTTCTCGGGCATTCAGGCCGGTATATGCTGTTTAATACTGTTTATTATAAACAGACCATTTACTTAAATACTTTATCTATAAAAAGAATGTTAAAGATAAAAAAAAATGTCTTAATATATATATATATATATATATATATATATAGATAGATAGATAGATAGATAGATAGTGTGAGAGAAAGAGATGCCGGTAGTTCTCTCTACTTTATTAAGTCAGACCGGTAGATGTATAATTACATATATCATATTATTGATAATTACTAGGGATAATTCCAAAGAGGATATAAATCCCAAGAGAGTTCAAGTGTAAATATGATAATGAAAGTGGAGTCCTTAGAAATCCATAGGAGATAATTTATTTCACGGGATCACACGTACATCTCTTCAGACCAAAATTTCACAACAAAATTTCTGTTGTAAATTATCACCTATGGATTTGTAAGGACTCCACTTTTTTATATATATATATATATATATATATATATATATATATATATATATATAACCGGCTAGAAAAATAATCTATAACCGTTACTCTTACAGCAACAGCGATCTTCGTGTGTAGATCGTGGATGACTTGAAACTCAGAGTCTCAGATTAAACGCTGTACATCTTTGTGCTCTAAAGATTGTTAACGCCCCCCACCGTCAAATTGAATTTCTAATATGTTACTGAATTCTAAAAATGCTAAAAAACAAATATTTATGCGATGGTTCAATTTGGTGCTGGCTAAGACTCTTACTCTATGCTCCATCTTGCTTAGAAGTAATCGTGATCTCCTCGTTTTGTAATTTGAAGGCAGTTTCTTTGTTTCATAAGAATCTGTGTAACTGCGTTGAAACCACATTCAGCCATATAGGAAATTTGAAAAGCAATGAAGAAATGTTTGATTGCATCCCTGAGTTTTAGATACATTTCAGAAAATTCCTTTTGTTGCAAATATTGAATCATTTTTGAAGATTTGAAAAAAAAAATGTCCACTTGAGTATATACACCGCCCCCACCTAGAAATAAAATCTTGTGCCCCCTTTCAATATAACTTAGACCACAAGGGGGCGCTATCGGTCACGAACGAGAAAAACTGCATTTATAATGGCTATGTCTTAATATGATTTCTCATTTTGGCTTTCTTAATCCCATAGGTATTGGGCAGCGTTCATTTTGATTAATGTATATATGTTTCTTTTTGGCAGGTTTTGTATTGATGGAGCTTGTTTTAGATAGTTTCCTTTCAGCTCCGAAGTTGTTGTTGTTGTTCTTGTTCTTCTTCTTCTTCTTCTTCTTATTATTATTATTATTATTATTATTATTATTATTATTATTATTTTATATATGTATAATGGTGATTTCGCCAATGGATATGTTAATAGAACTTTGTAAGTATTCAATATTTGCATTGATATTTTGATAGATTATTATGTATCTAAGATTATGTGTACCTGTCATGGAAAAAGTAGAGGCAAATGTTTCCGGAGACAGTCGATCCCTTCTACTCCCTTACATTGTTGGCCTTAAAAAAAACATTTTAGAAAAATATATTTCTTCCTTTGTACGTTTTCTAGTGTATTTTTTTTTTCTTTTCGTCGAAACATTTCATTTGTAACGTATTGAAAAGTGAGTCCTGGAATTTAATCGGATGTTTTTCTTCATATTTTTATTTTTCGATCAGTGGTTCCATCTTCTCGATTTTTTCTTGCATTTGATTAGGCATTATTATTATTATTATTATTATTATTATTATTATTATTATATGAAGAAGGAAAAGAAGATTAAAAAGAAAAGTAGAAATTTAAAAAAGTGGAAATGAAGAATGCGAGGATGGCAGAAATGCGAAAAGGGAAAATGAAGTATAAAATAAAAAGTGAAGTTGAAGTCTGAAACCAGGAAAAGGGAGAGAGAACATGAAGAAGAAATCAAAGAAGAAGAAGAAGAAGAAATCAAAGAAGAAGAAGAAGAAGAAAAAGAATTTTGAAAAAGAAAATGAACGATTTTGTCGTATAATAAGACAAACTTAGTAAATATCAAGATCAACAAAAACGAGAAAAGTTAGAATGAAAAAGTTGTAGAAGTTAAAATGGAAGATGCAGACGACAGAAACGATAACCACAAAAACAACACCGAGTACAAAAATAAACAATCGGAAAACATAAAATATTCGTGATTATTAAATTAACTACTGAAGAGAGTTAATGATATAGATAATGTGAGTGAGATGGTAGTAGCGAAGAACAAGGTCAATACGCAATAAGATATGGCAAAGAAAATAAAGAAAGAAATGAAAGAGAAAGTTAGAAATAAAAATAAGCAACGTGAAGAGAAAGAAAAAGAAAACTAAGCTACGAAAATAGTGAGAAAAAGAATAATATACTTCGAGAAGAAAAAGAGAGAAAGAAAGAGCAATAAGCTACAAGATAAAGACAACAAGCTACGAAAAGAGAGAGAGAGAGAGATTTAGAACAATATGTAATGAGAAAAGAGATTATAAGATCTATACGAAACGGAAATTGAAAGAAAAGTGCATGAATGAGAAGGGAGGAGGAGAAAGAACAACAACCAATGGGAAAACAGAATAAAGAAAAATAAGCAAAGAAACGATATAAAAGAAAATGTACAGTCATTACGAGAGAAAAAAATAAATTTAGAAGATAATGTCGTAGAGAAACAAGAAACTGTTACCAGCAGAGAAGATTGTTAATTATAGATGGTTTGATGGTTGCATGGTTTTGATATGATATGATTTTATACGATTCGATTGGATAAGAGAATAACGGCACATATTTCTGTGCAGAGCATCAACCAGCACCCACCCGCCTCTTGCAGACCGGATGTCTCTACTTAAAAATAAGAACCAGAGGCTGGGGGAAGGGGAGATGCCGATGGGGTAGGACATGAAGAACAAGCTTGTGTTAGAGGTAGGGGAATCTGTATGCGTCGCTCGGATGCGTTTTTGGTTCGTCTATCGCCCACTTAAGGTATCCGTCGGGGATTGATCGTACAAACCGCTAAGGGCATTGCTATTGTTGTGGAACTCCTGAAGCACCTGCCAACCAGCCCGCCTGCGTATTTGTCTGTCTGTATGCCAGTTTTCTTCCAGTCTGTAAACTTCCTTCCCCGTAACTTGGCCACAATAACAAAAGCAACTAAAAATCACCAACATTTATTGATAAAATAGCTACTTTAATGTTAAAAAAAGTAATAATTACTAATGCTAAATTTTAGAAAAAAAAAGCTTTTAAAAATAGTTTTAAAAAAACATATCGCAATGAAACGAAGCAAAAGGGGAAAGATGTGGTGAAACAACCTCAGAAGAATTTAGTTTCGTTATAATTTGAGTCAACCTCATTGCTGATATTTCGTCTTGATCTGTCACTAACCAACCGTGACTTTCAAGGTTCTAAAAGCAATTCACTCACTATGAATGAATCTATTCAATCGATATCAACTGCATCTTAGATATAATCTGCGATGCTATTAAAATATAAAATCTAGATTATTATTATTATTATTATTATTATTATTATTATTATTATTATTATTATTATTCCATTTGATTTTTGTTGTATGCCTATTTCCATCTGGGTCTCAAACAGAGACCTAAACTGACAAATGGTATTTTGAAATTTCCGATTTAAACTTTTTGTAGAAAAATAAAAAATAAACCAACCTATCACACATATATTACATAGATAAAGACATTCGTAAGGTGTTTGCTATAAAATTTGTTTTGTATTTCTTTAAGTTGTGGCCTACTAGGAATCCCTTCAGGGAGTTTATGGAACCTTTTCCAATCAAATTCAGGGTCGAAATCGCAGCTGGAATTATGATGAATTGATGGGCCATAGTTTACAGATTTCCGCTTCCGGTTAATCGTATTTCGATAGTTTTTTTTTTTTTTTTTTTTTTTTCGGATATTCAGTGGTACATTACGGTCTGCAGGAACTGTCATGCTAATATGAAATTTACATTCTGTTTTTGTAGTCTTTGATTACTATGTCTAGGCGATTAGTTTTGGTTGTTCTGTCTTTGTGTATTTTAAAGGCCCATAAAATTGCTAAATGTCCTATCTCTGTAACCGAGTCTGGATGGTGTTCAAACAAGTTTCTTGCAGTTTCCTTCCCGTAAACGTTGCAGATTTTCCAATGCAGATATTGGCCTACTGTGTCATGCCGAGTTTTATGTTCAGTGGGTCCTAACATCGTGCAACTTGAAACAATTGGTCAATTGTTTCTGGATATTTATCACAGAATCTGCATTTGGGTGTAAACAATTTTTTCCCAGTATATTTGCTTGGTAATTTCTAGATAGGAAGAATTTATCATGATTAAACTTTCTTCTTCTTCTTCTTCTTCTTCTTCTTCTTCTTCTTCTTCTTCTTCTTCTTCTTCTTCTTCTTCTTTCTATCATTATTATTATTATTATTATCGTTATTATTATTGATGATGATGATGATGATGATGATGATGATGATCACAAGTAGTCGTTAGTGGCGACATATGTTTAATACTCACCAATATCAAATGAAATATATCAATACACACAATGTATATTTTTTCACCGTAATATATCAAACCGTAATTATAATTTAAATAAAGGGGTTCTAATTTTTTTTTTAAAAAAAGTGTGGAGTAATTGATAGCGGCTCGGATTGAGCAATCGGAGAGCCGAGTTCGAATTACAGTCAAATCCATTACATTTACTTACTTCAATTTGGGAAAGCTATAGATCCTCTTCTCCTCCCCCACCCAGCTATAGGTAAAAAGCAGGACAGACCGGTTTCTATAGCCTTAGATTGCAACTGGTCCATCCCAAAAAGAAATGGCAACCTACTGCGGGAAAGAAAATCTGCCTCATCACTTATGTATCGAAAGATATATGATTGTCTAAGCGTGTATAACGCATGGCACTTAACTGACTGAATTTACTTGTATGTGAATATATTGAAAGTGCACTAATTTCCTAATCATCTACAATTATTTTATATCAAGGATCATAAAAAACAAATCTTATTTCCTCACAAGCCTGCTGCCTTGACAATGTTGTAGAATAAAGAAAAAACAATAGATATGAAAAAAATAAAGAGGTAAATATTGGATTCACTTGCTATTGCCTACATACTCTCCAATTAGTGGCAGCAAAGAATTCAATCAAAAGATATAATGTGTTTGTAATATATTTATTCTTAATTAAATTATTTGAGAACATCTTCTTCCTCTCATTATTATTATTATTATTATTATTATTTGTGTATGTTACGTTTTCTGCATTAGGGCCGGGTCCAAACTATAGTCCTTAAGACTTATCGTAAAATTACAATTTAACTGATAACACATTTTTAGTACATGCGATATTCCTAATAGAGCGATCGTCTGGGCAACTTGTATATTGGTGTTACCTGAAACTCTGTTAGTAAAATTGTCTATTCCTTTTATCCCAAGGCCCAGATTTCCGGTACCGACTGGTACAGTTTCAGTCTTCATTCCCCACATCCTGTTTATCTCGATATCCAGGTCCTTGTATTTGGACAATTTCTCGATAATTTTTATGGAGGTGTTTCTCTCAGATGGTACTACTATATCAATACGCATACACTTCCTGAATTTCTTTTCTGTTATGATAATATCAGCTTTGCTGACTTTCATTTCCCTGTTAGTTTAAATTAGCATGCCCCAGAGGATAGTTTCATTGTTATTTAGGGTAACTGTGTCTGGTTGGTGCTTTTACCATCTCTCAGTGGTTTCGATTTTGTGCTTCTTGCATATCTTCCAGTGCACACATGTCGCTGTCTTGGTATCTCTGTGGGTGTATTAATTTTGTTGACACTTCCGGATATCCTGAGATAAAATGGTCGACAGTTTCTTTCAGATTTTCCCTAGATCCTGCATTTCGGGTTAGTTCCATCCTTAATTATGTGATTTGACCCAAAGTAGTGTAAGTTCAATACCTGGCCACAGCAGAAGTGCACAATAGCGTGGAGAGTTGAATTACTAAAGGGAGATAACTGAAACTGAGATATCTAGTAAAAGCATGATACGTGAAACTAGAACACTCTACCTGAGTGAGGGAAATAAAAGAGTCGATTCGAATTTCAAACGTATATCACATGAAAAAGGCCGGACAAGACAAAAGCCGAAACATCGTTAAAATTACAATAATGATGAAGACAAGATTCCGAACAATGTAAATAGTGTAAATAGTTACAATCCTTCATCTCAGAAATATAGGCAGAGATAATACACAGTGTTTAAAAATCAAAATTGGCTATTTCATTTACGAGTGTCCATTATAATAACGTAATAAAAAAATAAATTGTCTAGAAGCACACACACACACACACACACACACACACACATATATATATATATATATATATATATATATATATATATATATATAGTCATTCACAGGCAGTTTGTTTCCCAGTTCATCAGTGACTGCTTCAAGCCGAGATCGAAACCAGACCGATTTAGCATCAGTCACAGATTCTAACCCTAGCTCTTGTCACACGGCAGAGAGAAAGGGAAATTTGAACGTTTTTACTATTCGAAAGATGTCAGTGGCGAGGAGATTCCAGTTGAAGAGCATTGCATTATCAGCCACTGTTTATAAAATATATACATCGTAAGTAATTAATCGAGTCCAGAAGAAACCTCATTAGAATGCAGAAAGCACTGAACGGCCGTTTCGTCCTATATTTGGGACTCATCAGCAGTGCGCTACCGAGAATTAAATACGGACCGCTACGATACGACGCAAATGTCATACCAACTGTACCAACGGGCCTCGGCCACGAAGACATAAATAATTTAACTCGATATAGCGCCACTCTTAACAAATTACGTGTTGTAACTCATCTGAGTTTTCAGTACGACTCTGTTCACACGAACCCCGGCGATACTATCCCGAAACCGTTCCATCGAAAGTATTAGAAACCGGTTTAAGCAAGGATATACAAGTGACATAAATTATTAGAAGGATCTGAGATAATCATAATTAATTCATCGCTTGAATATATATATATATATATATATATATATATATATATATATATATATATATATATATATATCTTTAACTATATATATATATATGTATGTCTCTTTAACTATATATATATATGTATATGTCTCTTTAACTATATATATATATGTCTTTAACTATATATATATAATATATATGTATATGTCTCTTTAACTATATATATATGTCTCTTTTAACTATATATATATATATATGTGTGTGTGTGTATATGTCTCTTTAACTATATATATATGTATATGTCTCTTTACCTATATATATATATATATGTATATGTCTCTTTTTATATATATATATATATATATATATATATATATGTCTCTTTAACTATATATATATATATATATATATATATATGTCCCTTTAACTATATATATATATATATATATATATATATATATATATATACAGTAGCGTCCAAAACTAAGGGACAAAATTTTAAAACCTAATATTTGTTAATCCTACAATGATACTGGCAAAATAGTTAGTGTTTTTAAAACCGGCAGACCCCGCAAAACTTCGACAAGAGAAGATCGAATAATGCAGCGTATGTCATTAAAGGACCGTTTTAAGTCTTGCACAG